TTTTTTTTTTTCGACATTGATAGTATGTTTTGTTCTAAAAGATCATTTGGAGATGCGAAAGATAAAGGTTGTTGTTTATGCTATAGTGAAAAGGAAGGTGAATTCGTCTTTGATCAGACCGGAGAGAGGATTAATCAAGGTACAAACAAATCGGTCTGAACACCTTTTACCGTTGAACCAAAAAAAAAAGAGAGAGCTCATAGATTTAAAAAGCAAAAATCTTGGACTGAGAAATTCATTTTAATGCATTACAATTCTTAATACGACCACACAATATATTGGACATTATTGTAGTCTTAATAAGACTCGGGTCACTATGGGATTAAGTTGTGATACTTATATATTAAATGATTCAATACAAACCCGTTTATATACAGAGTGAATCGGACTATAAATTAGAGAGGTAAATATTAATCAAGTTTTGATATGACAAGATTATGGATTGAATTTGAATCTCTCAAAGTCATAATTTATCAATCTTGGAAATTTGGATTCATTCAATTTCAATTTTTATCAAATAATTCGCTTGCCTCGAAATGACCTAGACTAATAGGAAAATCCCAATTCATTGGGCCTTTCGATACAATCAAATAGAAAACCCCAAAGGCGTCATATTCTAAGAGCCCAAATTATGTGATTGAATAAATCTTTCTCTACCTGGTGCGGGTCAATTTCGATCAACTTCAACCGTATGACATTAAATCAACTAGGTCTCATAGGTGTTCGTGGAATCCATAGAAACCTACTAGTATTTCACAGTGTAGAGAAATAGGGACAATGCTATACCAACCACAAAATGAGATCGAAAGAAGGGATCATACGCTATAATTTAAATTTCATTTGTCATGTCAATATCACATCATTTNTGAGCATATGTACCGCAGATTATGTTGAAGGAGTTGACGATGAACTTGCAATTGTCCACCAGGACTTTGAAAGGGCGGCTAGCTGATTGAGTTCCAGTTAGCAAATTGAAAGCTTCTAAGGAGTCAGTCTCTGNCCTTTTTAATCTCGAATTTAATCTTATTCGCATGTGACTAACCGTCAAATACTCAAATCGGAGTTTGTGAATCGAATTAAGTTTCATAGGAGTCACAATTCAACTCGATTGACATTCCTATGCTTGGCAAGACAGGATAAAAAAAATTATATTGTTTTGAAAAGTTAACAAAAATTTAAAATCCATGTTTTTGATTGACATGTTGTGGTACACATACATCAAGCTCTTTCAAAGAAACATTTTTTTTTACCATAGACTTAATTTTTTAAAATTAAGATTAATGGAGATACTTGAATAGGATTAGAATTGTGAATTTCAAAGATAAGAACTAAGTACGAAACCCATCAAATATTCGAATTGGAGTTTTTAAATTGAATTTAAATTCAGATCGGTGATACTCACAGTTTTAATATCAAATATAAAAACAATACTATTTAGAAGTTTAACAAAACTTAATATCTGTACTTTTTATTGCTAGCCTTCTTTTTTTTGGTCAAGTACAATGTAAACGACGAGATTTAAACTCGCAATATTAAAGTTAAACAACAACATAGTGATTATTAAGGGCTCGTTTGATAATATTTACGATTTTTGATTTTCTAAAAAACGAAAAACAAAATCAAAAAACGAAAAATGTCTTTTTCTCGTTTTTGAAAATTGTCCATCGTTTATAAAACAACGACAGGAAAAAAAAAATAAAAACGGTTATCAAATGAGTTTTTTTTTCTTGTTTTCTCTAAATATCAAAATAAAAATGAAAAACGAAAAACTTAAACGTTACCAAACGGGACCAAAGTTAACCACTAACCTCCTTTTTATTGGCAGCTTGGGGTACGTTTCAAGCTCTCCCTAATAAACATAATTGAGAGTGCTAATAATTAATTTACGGTAAATTATATTTTAACCCTCTAAACTATGGACTCTATTTTACTTTGTTCATTAAACTATTAAATTTTTTAGATGACAATTGCTGACATATCAAGGCAAAGTCATTTTTTTTAATGGAATTTAGGGGTAAAATGAAATAATTGTCCGTTAAATATGTAACAGACTTTAATGATTGGGACAATAGAAAACTAATCACGTAATTGAGGGTAAAAAAGTATGATACTTGAGGAGATAAAGTGAAAAAAATATATAATTGAGGAGGTCAAAGCATAATTTATTCTAACACTTGTTCAAGGCTACATACATTGAAATTTCTAACTAAACACATGTGATATCAAATTCACTTAGCAACATTAAGTATCTATAGGTCTTTCATGTTTATTTGTTTGTTGTTAAGGTTATAATTTAATGGAATCATACACAAACACAGGTTTTATGAAAATATATTTTAATTATGATAATGATATATTATTAATTCGTCA